GCCCTTTCGGATAGGGGCCATTTTTGTTATATATTTAAACAGTGAGTAGTGTAATGGGGCTACGGGCCCTGTGTGTTGCTACAGTTGCATGCAATACCAGTGAACTAGCACTGCTTAAAGATGCCTTTAAAAATACATTTAGCAGTATACTTTTTCTTTATGCTGGTTCAAATATACAACACATCTTATCTACTTCTTTGGATCATTATTAGGTTGACTATACTTTTTTGAGCCCACAGAAGTAAAGAGTTTTAATGTCACCAGTTTCATCTTATAAATGCTTGCATCTGCATCAAAAACAACAATATTCTGCCTCTCCTTGATAGCAGGAGCTAGATTTGTGCTCCCTTTGCTGCCAGCCTTTGGGGGTTTTGGCAGTCCTTTCTTTCTCTGTTCCTTCTGTAACTGTCTTCGTTTTCCTTTCACAGTACAGAAAGAGTCCCAGTTTGTGGTCAGCAGAGCTTCTGGTAGCAGGGCACTTTGGTCTGTTTTGAGTTTCTATCTAAAGATCTGACTGTAACATTGTCTTCAAGTGAGATTTCTTTCTCTACTAAGAAAGAAAATGCCATCTTTCCCTTCTGGGCCTTAATCAGGAGCTGGCTTTGTGAGAGGGGCATTTTGAATTTAGTTTTGATGTAAAATTTAGTTACTACTGTCCAAACTTACCAAAGAATTCTCTGTGGTGGTTTCATCGAAAGGGGCTGGTAACCCTTCGTACACCTTAGTTTCTGGTAATTTCTTTGTTATGCCCCTTTGAATTTCATCGAGTAATCTAGCATTAGGTAATGTTTGCCAATTCATTCAATTGTGATTTTCATCCTACTCTCAAGTAACAAATTGCAAGATGATAGTTTAATTGACTTCTGAAGTAAATAGTATGCAACACCTACTACATCTCCTTATTCCTGTTCAAAGCTGCACTGTCAATTTAAATTTCTTCTACTAAAGGATTAAGTTAAATTGCCTTATCTATTCAAAAATATCTTCCTCTATCATTCCATCAGCCAGAAGTTGAGCTGCTCCAAAATTGCCATTACAATCAGTTCCACCCTATCTTGTCTCAGGAAATTACAATGGTGTTTGTGTTGGTTTTTTGTCTGAAGGCTCACTCTGCAAAGTAGTCTAGTTCTACTTGGAAGGTCAAAGTCCTTCAGGAAATCTGATGTCTTGTCCATCAGCTTATGGTAAAGGTTTGGAAGTTTATGGGAGGTCAAGACTTCTCAGACAGTTAGCAAAATAACTCCTGCAAGTCTGGTACATTCAGTAATAACTCTGGCTGCACTTTGAACAAAAAATAAATTTCTTCTGAAGAAATCTGTGAGCAGCCATCCTGCATTCTCTACATCTCTTCAGCCAGACCCTGTATTGTGAATCTCCTTTGGTCACTAGGCCTTGTCATCTGTCATTTATGAGCCTTGATCTTAGTCTTATTTTTCATATTGCACTTCCTCCATAATTTCTGGTTGAATAGCTTTTTAATTAACAGCGTATCTCCAGTTTTGTGGACTTGCTCTGTGTAAATATAGACACTACATTTTAACAAATTTGTTTTTGTTATTTTTTTAAATAAGGTAAAATCATGTTCTGGTCTGGTTTTTTGTTTTTTTTTATGAGCCATATTATATATAAATACATTTTTCCAGATTTAAAAATTGGGAGCTATATACGGGAGTTCATGTTCCCAGATGCATCTAAAACGCTACACACTGAACTTGTTTGTCAGATCCAAATGAGTATTTGAGTGCAGGAGGACTTCAGGTATACTTGAGTAACCTTCATGTAACAGATAGCTATATGGCACAAAAGTTGGAAGCCATTATCTTACTGCATTATAACTTAAAGCAATCATTGAAAAACAGTATTTGTGTAAATAACAAATGCATTATGGATTTGGGTAGGCAGAATGAAATTACACAATTAAGTAAATGACACAGATATCAGCATTAATATGCTTACTCTTGTTAAAAATGTCACTGAATCTGCCACTTGAATATAACCTTGGGAATGTAATATTTACCTGAACTGTTAAACCAGTGGTTCTCAACCTTTTAAGACTCAAGGCATTCCTTGTTAGACTCAATCTATCCCTCAGAAAATGCCCCTTCTCAACTTTTTAACATATTTTTTGACTACAGAAAAATAGTAGAGACATTCTTTTGTTCAAAGAACTCAAACAGACCACAACAGATCAACCCATGGCTTTGACATTATAGACTTCTATGTAAAATGTCCAGTTCTATCTTATTAATCCTTTGTAGGTGTTTGCAGCTAATGTTGCATACCACCCTTAAAAGGATCTCAAGCCACCAAAGAGTGCAGAATCACTTTGTTTAAACCAACAACATAGGCCGTTTTTACATGTGGTCCTGACATGGTGCCAGCTACTTTTAGTTGGCAAGTTGTACTAATTAAAAGCGCCCATATGTCACTTGAATCAGTGGCACAGCACATCCCTGCACTGAGAAAATGGCAGCAGTGCGCTTTAAACTAAAGCACATTGAACATGTTTTAGTTCAGAGTGCACCACTGCCATTTTCTCAGAGCAGAGGCATGCTGCACTGCTGATGCACATGACACGTGAGGCTGCCAGAGTGCATCAATTTACATGCTCCAGCAGACTCGATTAATCAAGCCTGTTCCCCGAATGTGTATAAACACCCATAGTTCATTAACCCATTGATGGGGCACTGGTTCATTAGTGACCTGAAAAGAAAAAAGTGCTTTCTACCAAACTCTTACACTTCTTTGCTCTAACTTGTGTTCTACGTTGCTTAACCCAAGTGTCCAAAAAACAACCTGAGCCTTTTTTCTTAAAGCAGAGAACACTTCGTAACATAATTGATAAGCCATTTTAATAAACTAGTGTTGGGGTGAAAATGAACATGAGTAATTTCTCCCCAAATTTCACTCAAAGAATAACTTTATTCAGAAGTATACTTGAAAATAAAATGAAAATCCCTCCTCAGCTATCTCTGTTCTGTTATTACACCAGTGTTGTTTTATATATGTACAACAGCAGGTACAAAATAATAAATACTGTGAAAAAGCAAGAAGAACAGTATCTCTGCTACAATAGTTTAAATCATTATGAATAACCTGATATGATTCTTTGCACGTAAGTGCTGCATGAGTTCATTGTTTTTTTTTTATATGAACACTCTAGTACTTTGTGTATCTACAATGATGTCACAAGACTAAAGATTGCTTGTGTAATATGGATGATGCCAAAAACTCTTATCTCCTGCTGATGTATTGCCTCCCAGTTCCGTCTCATCTCTGTGATTACTTTTGTGACATCTCTTTATAGATGAGCCACTATCAAGTTTCAAAACGGCAAAACTAGAACTTCTAGCTCAGTTCTTCTTTTTAATTAAATACAATAGAATATTGAATACAAGCCGCTAACAATGCAGACGCCTTTCTCTAGTTCACTCTGGATATTGTGGAGTCCTGACAGCATTTGCTCCACATGGTATGTTTATAAATGTTTTTCATGGACGCGGTTTGTTTAAGACTCAGAGTACTTTACCCAACAATAACATGTCCATGTACAGCTGCCTTATTTTACGAAATGGGTTGTTGCTAAACAGCCCAGGAAAAAATTCTGGCTGTTGTTTTCAGAAGCATGGTTCCTTCCTAATCCTTCCACTGTCCAGTGGTAATAGTAACGTTTGGTTAGAACTCTTCTAACAGTTCTAGGAAGTTCATATCCTAAAGCAATGGCACGTTTAGATCAATTATTCTATGCTTCTTCAGCTTTCCTGTTTCTTGCCTTGAGCACTTAATTTGTAATCTTAATGTTATCAAGGTAAATTCCTTTTATATGAAAAATATTTAGATGTGTATATAAAAACTAGTACATTTGATCATTGTGTGATTTTTTTTTTTTTTTTTTTTTGTTTTTTTTTTTTTTTTTTTTTGTTTTTTTTTTTTTTTTTTTTTGTTTTTTTTTTTTTTTTTTTTTGTTTTTTTTTTTTTTTTTTTTTGTTTTTTTTTTTTTTTTTTTTTAAACCCAATTTAAACTCAAAAATTTGTTTGTATGTTTAAACTAGGTATGTGGAATAGTCCCATGAATTTCATGGGGATCAGTCAATCACGTGCTTTTAAAGATAAGTATGAGTATAAGCTGTTGTAGTCTTGGGCCTAACTAATGAGCAACACCTTTCAAACATGGTATAAAAACTTAAGATCTGTGTAGTACCTGTACCGTACGTGGTGAGTTCCTCAGGGCAAGGATTAAAATTGCCTCTGCATGGCATGAAGCACTCTAGCACTTAAAACTCAGTGTTGTCTTTGAGTCTCATATAAGACAGTTTTTAGATATATTTCTTAGCATCTAACCAGTAAGAAATGCTCTTGACTGTTTTAAAAAAAAAAAAAGAAAGAAAGAAAGAAAAGAAAAGTTCTTTATCCTTATGTGATGCTTTTATTTTATTTTAAAATAAGCATCATGATAAAAATGTTGAAAGCGACTGAGATGCATCCTAGAAATGGCAATATGGAAAAAATAACATTTCAGCATTTGGAGAAAACATCTATTAGTATAGTACTACTGATCTTAATAAATGGTAAAAGAAAATACAAAAAATCACTTGCAACATCCTTTTAAGAATGTTTAACTATAAAAGCATATCCTTACTTAGAGCGCTATGATTCCAGTTAAAGATTCAGTGGAAGGTAAGGGTATCTGACTTTTGTTAACGTTGTATAAGAATTAACAGAAATGTTGCAGCATATAGTCAGTAGTTAAAATTTTATTTATGATTTAACAGTATTTTTGGTATGATAATACTCTTCTTTCCACCCCTACTATATATTTGTTTAAATGTTAACATATTATAATAGTTTAAAAAATAAAAACCCTACTTGTCTCTCTTATGTTACCCTTTTCACCTATGCAGAGGTGTAGTCACAAATCTTTAGAAAACATCAGTTTGAAGAAGTAAAATATATATGCAGTCTATGTTCTTCATGGAGACTTCTGTGTTGCAGTCATCGTCTGTTTTTAATCTGCTTACACTGCTTGTGTCTTGCATATTCATTGGCAGTAAAACAATACTGTCTGTATTTCCAGTGTTTGAGCTCTAGCCATTATCAATGAGAAGCTGAATACTGTCTGTCTCCATTTACATAATGTAGTAGTCCTGACTGGGCTCACAGATGCATTTCAGTCACTGATGCAGCATCCTTAGACGGACACTTTGCTCTGGAATGTATTCAATAATCTTTTTTAGGCTGTTTCCTATTGCTTTGCATTTAAAAATCATTTTTGTCATGACTAGTCTTTGCACAGTATACTGTACAGCTGATGCTGAAAAAATGTCATCAGAGTGTAGTGTAGATGTATACAAAAATAATCACAAAGAGATTGAGCACTGTTCCAATTATCCCCAGCATAGCTAAAATAGATTCTTCTTTTTCCTCATTCTCCTCTTGCCTTTTTACATCTTCTAATGTTGTGATGGCTGAGGTCCCCATTTTTCCTGCAAGTATCTTCACCAGTGTTCTGATAGCTAGCTAGAAGAAAGAAGACAATGATTAATCTAGCCTTTTGAACAGGTAGTTGGGGTCCTGTTCAAGCACAAGAGTATGTTGCATTTATGTACTGAAGGTTTCTTAAAGCTCTTTTCACATAAGGTTCAGTTTTTCTCTGTGTACAGTTATATCCCATTGCAATTATTTGCAGTAGCTATGGAATAAAGTATAATATAAATCAGTTCTGGTTTGTTATTGCAAGCCAATTATTATGTTTTGTCATAGAAGCGATCTGATCTGGCTTTAACCCATTTACTTTTTCCTTATGAAAAAAAAAGTTGATATAATCACATACCCATACATGCTCATGTAATAGAAAATGACTGTGAAATGGCCAGAAGAAATTATGTGAATTCTCAGCTATTGTTGAACACTGACTTGTCACAGTATGCTAGCAGGTGATGATGATCGTATTTGGTTTGTTGTTTTCAATGTAGAAATTGGTTATCTTAATATAATTATGCAGTCTCTGACTTATCCATACCTAGCTAGCAGATCTAACTAAGGCATTGTCCTTTTTACTTTTTTCAATATGCCTGCTTTGGGCCATTTTGTAGTGGTAAATATTTTTAACAGAAAATGCAGATCTGCCAGTCTTCAAATTTTTTTATTGCAGTATGCCCAGAGACAATGGTGCTCTTACAGCATTCACATATCTATCAAAAATAAGGATTTGAGAATTTCTTACATATGTGATTTGTGATTCATATACAATCTTGCCCTTTTTTGCAGAGGTAAGAATGTGACAACCTCTGATATCTAGTTCTGCTCATGCTTTTAATGTATTTGCAGTCAACATGCCTCCATTTAAATATTTTCCTGAGGGGTTACTTTCTTTTAGGGTTTACATATTGGATTGATTGCTGTCTACTATGATTAAGTATTGGTGATAAGGAATTTCTGCTCTTACTAAAATTTGTGTTTAATCTTTGTAGAAATCCAAGCCATCCTAATTTACTTAAGCTTCACATTTTGAATACAATGGCATTTTTTATCTGTTGCCAATCACGTTTTTATTAATTAAAAATGAGCACACTTCTGGTGGGTCTTATTTAATCAGAGCTATCAACCCATAACACAATATATCTTATATAAAGGTTTTTTTTAAAAAATGTACCTTACCCTACATTGCATCAGGAAGAAAATGTCATCAGACATGCTTCTTACTCGTCGATTCAGTGGTGAACCAGCCTTTTATCTTCATGGAGAGCTGCTCTCTTCTTTCAGAGAAAGAGATCATATACAAACATGAAGAATTTTTTTATACATAAAGTTAAACAGTGCAGGTGGCGGTGATACAAAATCTTCCAACTGACTGGGCTTATCTTCCAGTAATCCACTGAAGTCAAGTGCAGTTTAAAAACAAAAAACCCTTCTTAGGATTGATCCATGCTGTACATTAATTCTCATTAACTTGAGTTTTTTCTTAGGCAACATGCATTTTATGTACAATACATACTGCGTGCCGCTTGGCTTTGCTTTTAAAAAATAAGCATAGCTCCTGCTTTTCTTCAGTATATGTTGTTTTTTCTTGAGACTTTCCTTTAAAAAATGAGCCTTTATCTACACTACTACTTGCCAGCCACGTGAAGATGCTTTCTCACGTTGACATGCTGTAATTCCAGATGCAGTCAACTGTGCTCAATTACACCATGTAATTTTAGTCCAGGCTTTGAAAAACAATGAAAACAATCTGGTTGATTGGCAGTGGTGTTAGCATTGTAACACACCTGCTTCAAAGCCTCTGAAAATAATTCCAAGGTATTCTTCCGAGCATTGCATAACTTAGTAGCCAGTCAGATCCGAGGAGCAGAATGACAGTGGCTTTAGTTGCATACTGTAGTGAGCTGTGACATTGATTAAACATGCACTTGGCACTTGCTGAATAAAGAAGGAGCTACAAGCCACCCTTGCAGACAGTGAGTTGCATAACAATGTGCGATGGCTCTGCTATTTCATTGTCAGGCTAGGCACATTTTAATCCTGTAACAACAGTGAAAGTGTTCTGTGTAGAGGGGAACAGAGTTAACTGTACTTCAGGGCTTTCTGATGAAGTGCTGCATGACAAATAGTGACATTAAGGCATTCAAGCTGAAACAGTGTTTCTGCCTTTTGTCTTTTTAAGCTTTGTTTGGCAGGCTGTTGTTTCAAGCAGGAATTACTACTTTTTAATGCTTTCTTCTTTTTATTCATTGCCCAAAGACTGTCATCAAAACGGGCTTCTACAGAAAAATATTCCTGATCTGCTTGATAAGAAATAACTAGAACTCCTCCTGTGCATGAATTGGAGATGTATTTTTTGCATGTTCCATTTTGGGAGCATTTTTTAAGTCTTTCCTTCTCATCACCCGTTCCAGTAAAACCTCAGCCTTGAGGTTGAGTTGACAACTGGTTACTCTTCAAAGTATTTTATTATTTGGTTACTTTGTTATGGGAGAGCTTTGGCAGAGTGTGTTTTGGCAGTGGGGTTTCTTATCTATTTTTGTGATTGGGTGCAACCTATTTGCTCTTTTCATTGGTAATATTATTCATTGAGGGACTTCAAAACAAATGCTTGTACCCTGAAATGTATTGAAAATACTGACATTATATTCAAAATATTTAGGGAAGTATTGCAATTTAAATAACATAGTACACTTGTATAGTTCAACTGGAAGCCTCAGTATATCTGAGTTTCCCTGTTCTAAACCAGCATGTTCCACAAAATTACCAAAAAAAAAAATAAAAAACAAAAAACCCTTATCTGGTTTTCATTCACTCTTTCTGGGAATGTTATTTTTAGAAAATAGATAAATATCTGGAATTGCTAAATAAAATGCTTTTTAAACAAAGCTTTATTTTTGCATTACTGGCAGTTTATTTTCTTCCCATTTTGTAGTTTTAAAAGTGAAGGTTTGCTTACTTTTTTGTTTTTTACCTAGAGGGTTAAGGGAGGGGAAAGGGTGGAAGTAGGATTGAAAATTTCATGCTATAAAATACGGGGAGGGGGGAGGTCCAGGACCTTATTAACATCTTTGCTGTGAGACAACAAAACTAACTGGCAAATAAGCTATACTATATTTGCAGCCAGCACCAGTTTCCAATGTAGTGAACTTCCACAAGTTAAATATGATGCCTTCACCAAGCTGTATTCTTCCATAGGGGTTTGTAGTTTGATCTCAATGGAGCCTGTGTTCCTAAGGCACAAAGGTGACTGAGTTCCACACTTGGGCACTTTGGTATACAGCTAGGAATCTCCCTTTGGGCTCTCATTTTGCAAATTTCATGTGAGAATAATTTTTTTTAAATGTGTAAAAACAAATTTAGAGCAGCATTGTCGTTATATCAGAAATCTAAATTTTTCCCAGTTCAAAATGGAGCATCTTCATTTTTACATGGAAGATTTTAGGCCACTGAGAAAAATATTTAATAGTTGTACAGTTGTCTGCAGTTCAGCAAGCATGTTCATGTATATACTCAAGTCCTAGCTTTCCTATTAAAATCAGTGAGCTAATCATTGGAATCAAATGTTCCAGATGTCTTTGGGGGCATTGCCGCCTTTTTCATTATTCCTTTTTCTTTATCAATCAACTATATATTGGGAGAGTTGTTGTACAAGCTTTTGGGCATCAGGGGTCCTTCCTCAGGGCATTTGGGGTGCCTGTTGCCTGAAAACTTCTCCAACAACTATACAGCTGATCCAAAGACAGCACAAAAAAAACCCTTGCCTTTCAGAAATTTCCTGGATTGTCATGGCTACAGCACTCCAACCGTAACAGGAGTTGCATTTGTAATTAAAAAATAAACCAGACTTTAGATTAGAAACATTTATAACAAAAATATTATGAAGTTAAAATAGTGCAGATTTTCAAATTAGTTTTGCAAAATCTCATACACTTTAAACAGATCCACCCTGGTATAAATTTACTAATCAGTCTTCATGTAAGTTTACGTAGATCATGAATAGACCCAAAGGTTTGGGCTGATTTAATTTATTGTTGGGTTGGGGTTTGTTTTACCAGGGTGAGAGAGAAGGTGCAGTATGTTTTACATCATAGGCCTTGCCATTGATCAGTTGTTGTGATAAACTTAAATATTCCAAAAATATTTTAATTCATTTGATTTACTGGAAACATCTCTTTTTTATCTTAACAATCATTTAATAATTTTTTTAATAATTACAATACACTGTGTAACTAATAAGCTAAATAAAAGGTTTCGGCTTCCCTGTTTGAACCATAAATATGCAATCTTGAATTGAATATGTAACTAATTGATGCAATGTTCTGTTACTGCAAGTTGCAATTTTCTTGTTAAGGCCTCAGTAATGCTTGACTAAAATCTCTAAACTCTGAGTAACAACAAAAATGTTCAGTCTTTAGGCATTTTATGTACAAAGAAGTTAAAATTTTAGGATTCCTTCCTTGCCTGGCTAGTTGGCAGTACATAATACATCTCTGCTAAGCAAGACTAATGTTACTGCTGTCCTTCTTAAGCAGCAGTCACCACCATTCATTACAGTTAAGTTAAAATCATTTTCTGGGGAAACGTCCTAAAAGACCAATTGGTCAAACTGGGCCTATCTAATTATTATATTTGATGCAATGCTTTTCATTCTGATGCATCTTACAAATGACATGGAGTAAGACTGCTTTCACTGTTGAGAGAATAACTGCGGGAACATAGAATGGGCATGTTCACTTCTGCAATAAGACATCTTACACTCTGATACTAGGGAAAATCCTCACTCTTGGGGACAAATGTTTTCTGTTAATATCTACACTGGGGCGGCCAGCTGGCTGCATACATGCCACAAGCGACACAAGCAGCCTCTATAAATGACACAAGCAGCCTCTCTGTGTGCCACAAGGCAGATCAGGAAGGAGACAAGCAGCACATTGACAGATGGGGAAGGGAGCAGCAAGCAGAGTAGCAGATTGGATATGGGATGTAGGGCAGGAAACAAAGCAAAGCAGCAGGCAGGGGAAGGGGATTGGACTGGCACTTGAAGGGCTCAGAGCTCATTTTCTCCTGTGTCTTCCTTTCTTTCACTTGGCAGACAAGGTTCTTTGGGTAAATCTGTTTTTATTTTGAAAGTGTTTTTGCCAGTTATTACCCTTTCTTTCAATTCCTTTTCTGTTCTGTGCCCTGCAAATTACCCACGTTATTTTAGATCTTGTTGGAGCAGTAAGGCTAGGCTAGATTGGGGTACGTTTACTCACCTGGGTAGTGTGGCTGTCTGATCCTCTAAGTTCTAAAGAAGACCAAGTAACAATACCTCATTTTCAAAGCTCTGCACATACGTTAATTTTCATGTTAGAAAATGAGGTTTTTTTCTTTCTCTTGATGGAAGGGAGTGAAATTGTTTAATATGCTTCTCTTATTTAGAGGTAAGGATTGATGAGGGATTTTAAAAAATCTGTCATTTTGCTGATTTAACATACTCTGTCTGAAGGATTCAAGGTCAGCAGCAAATTTTGTGCAGTACAGCCAAGTATAAACTGTGAAGAAAAGTAAATCCATCAGCTCTAGAGTAAATAACCATGTAATTAAGATGTAGAATCATTGAGTAGCAGGCGAGGAGCAGAATAATTCTGTAGTTATGTTTGTTACCGTGTTTGAGCTCTTGTGTCAGTGATGTTTTTGTTGGCACTTAGATCAATAGAAAAATTGTTCTTATTCAAAATAATGGCAGTAAATGCAGGACTGCTTTTTGTAGGTAGGAAGAATAAAAAATATCCATTTGGAGTGAGGAGTTTAGTCAGTAGTTAACATTTTTGTTCATACTTGCATCCAAAAAGTCCTAATACTGTTATTTTCTTATAAGCAAAATTAAAAAGCTCTCAGCAAAAGTTTGGCAATTCAATTGAGACTGATTTAGCATCTTTGGGAGTGGGGCAATTTCTGTTGATTAGTGGTCATTCTGTTCATTATGGCTGATATTTGAATATTTGTACTGCATGAAAAGAGTCCTCATGCGGCACAAATGCCATAAGCATCTGCTTGTTAAAGGTGTTCCTATTTCAAGATAGAGATGCAGGTGTATCTGCTAAAGACTCGGTCATCTGGGCTCTTTAAATGAAGATCATCTTGATATGAGGGACATAGAAGTGCATTGAAATAATTAACTATTCACAACACGTGACTTAGAACATTTAAAGAAAGTATACACTGTAGCAAGTAATTGGCTATTTGCTTCTGACACAGTTGTGTTGGTCAGTAGCTGAAGCCTGTAATATAGACATTAGCAAAAATGGGTGTGGTTTACAAGTTGTGTTTAAATTAAAGAGAAAACATTGCAAATGGGAGTCCCTGCAATTATAAACTGTCTCTTCCATTTTTAATATTACAAGTTTTAGAGGTGGCTTCTCTGAAAATTCTCGTAGCTGCTCTTTCTGTCTACTGTGGTTTTCTTAAAGACCCCTTTTTTACCCTCATCCTGCAATTACTGGGTTCTGAATGGGGAGTCAGATGCCTTTCTCATTAGTAGAGGATCTTGCTTAACTTGGGTCTTGAATTAATTTTAATGTCAGGATACTTTCATAAGACACCTGTCTGTCAAAATGGAATTGTTAATAAATAGTATCTCACTGAGGTATTACCTCAGTAAGTTCATTGTCTCCATGGCGTTTCCACCATATACAGTAGTACATAAAGGCAAAGTAATTGTGAGACTTCAGTCTTATGACTGAGACATTTATAGATTTATTTCCCAGGCCCCCAAGTACGTGGGCATACTGTCTCCAGAGGACATTGTGTTATTACTTGGGAAGGACTAAACGTTTCACATAAATTCAGAGAAAATATTTATTGATAAAGGGAAAAGGTGTTTTAAAGAGAAATTTATTAGTAAACAGGTTCTTTCCCACTGGATTAAAAAGTATGTTGAGTATTGGTATACTGTCAAACGGGTACCTTTTGGCTCTCCTTGTACTACAGCTACCCCTGGAACTCATGGCCAGGTACAGGTGTTCAAAAAGCCTGAGGTGGAAGCGATTTTAAGTTGCATGCTTTAATCTAAGCACCCTAGGTTAGATTGG